AAATACATGAAAAGAATGAAGACTCAGATAAGGAAATGAGTATTTCTGTAGAAATATTTGGATTAAAAAGCAATACCTGCAGTGGAAGGTCCAGTGGTGATGCTGCGATCACTGATGCTTGGGTTAGAATTACCCATCTTAGACACAAAGCAATTCCCCATTACCAATCTCTTTTTCTGTTACTACTTTTCCATGAATGGTTTCAAAATCTCTCTGCTTCAGAGGCCATAAAATAAGAGGAGAGATAGAGAGAGAGAGAGAGAGAGAGAATTTTATAGTTTAGTGTCAACTCCAAAGTTTAATTCCACTTTGGTGTCATATAGGACCGCAAAATACTTTTTTTTATCCAACATATTGTCCTATTTATAAAGTAAAGTCGTCTACACGGACACAGCGGATGAAAAAAAATTTACAATCGGACCGGATTTTAAAAGTAGAAAATGGCAAAAAATGTTATTTGAATTTAAAAATAAATTTAAAAAATATGTTTGATAATTACAGTTATTTATCAAGTAGCAGGTCTTAATAAATATAAAAATTCATAGTAAAATTAATTATTGTGATTATCAAGTACATTTTTTAAATTCATATATCATTGTTCGTCTAAAAATATAGATGTTGTTTCATAGTTGCCTTCAATGTGTTTTTTTCTTCTTTTTTTTATTTTTCTCGATGGTTCTCTAATTCAGGTAAATCATGAAGAATCATGTTTCATAGCTTATGTCTCTTTTTTTTTCCTTCTTTCAAGTCTTTGTAAGTTACGACGCTTAGAAATTGGCCTATTGCAATAACTACACGTGTCCACTGTTGATAAACAGAACATGCAACCAATAGCTTCGAGGGATGTAAATGAGCTGAACTCTGTATGGATAATATGTTGATCAAATTTGATTTGATATTTAAACAAGTTCTAAAATTAAATTCAAGTTTTAATTGGTTATTAAAGAAAGAGCAATATTACATAGACTTAAAAACTAGACTTGATAATCTCAATCATTGATTTCACTGTGGGTCCCAACATTTTTTGGGACCCACTACCTATTCAATGGTTGAGATTATCAGGTCTAAGTTTTAAGTCTAATTTTTAAGTCCATCTAGTATTACTCTTAAAGAAACTGCCCTCAAACGAGTTTTTACCCAACTAATTCTAATTTGATGTCAAGTTATGTGATTTTTTGTATAGTCTTTGGATGCTAATTGTTTGATTGAGTGGAGGTTGATCTCTACTTATCAACATTAACAGTATTAAAAATGTGGTCCAGCCCAACTCGTTTATCCTACAAGTTGATTTTAGTTGGATGTTCAATTAGGGCAATCCCGAGTCAAGCTTGAATGGATTGGTTCCGACTTCAAACTTCTTTTCATTAAATGCGGCAATGTGATGATTAGTTTGCCGTGTACATGAGTTCACACTCTCTACATTTTCTCTGTTGAAAACTGAAAAAATTGAATGGCTCAAACAGAATATAGAGGGATTAAATAAAAATATGGGAAGAAACAATGACATCTTCAAACTGCCCTTATGTTAGTCAAATAATAATGACTAGACCTTTATTGAAAGTTTATAACAGAAGCATTGATCTGCTGTGAACATTACAAAGGTGCACTCAATTCAGGAATTGGGGAATAACCCATTCAAACTCAAGCAAGAACAGAGCTTATTAGGTTGATTAATGAAATAGGGCCTCCTTTTATTGTATAGGCTTTTCATGCATAGACTTGACTGTGTATAACACTGCAATGCCAAGTAAATAAACAGCTCCACAGATACATAGACTATACTCTTGGTGACCTCATTATATGTATTTTGACGGTGTTGAAAGATGTGCTTGGATGTGCGTGTGTGTGTGTGCAGTGTGCTTATACACCCATGAGTGTTTGTGCGTGTAAGAGAGAGAGAGAGAGAGAGAGAGAGAGAGAGAGAGGGGGGGGGGGTTGATTGAACGATGGGAATGACAAAATACCAAGAAATACCAAATAGGCTATAACCATGTAAAAGAAGTAATCCTTTAACACAAGAGCAAAAGTTTGGGAGACAGTCTACAGATAGTGGTTCATCACAATACTTCAAAGGGGGCAGATAGGAACATATATGAAGATAAACAATCCCAATATTGCAACATAAAGAGTTAGCTCCCACCTTTATATCAAATCCTACGGTTATCATTAAATGTTTGATATCCAAGTTCTCCTGGTGGAAGAGAATAATTTTAACAAGCACAAGATAACTAAATTTTCCAACAGGTATTGCAATCCAATTCACCGAAAACTAGTCAAAAGTGTCAGCTAGCATTTCCTTTCTTTGTGCAAAAATAATAGTTACGGGTTTACAACACAATCATCCCATGTAAATACAAAAGGCAAGTGCCAATACAGTATTGGTGAAATGAGAGAAAAATAAAAATCATTGTTAAAAATAACAATAGCAATCAATCACTAGAATTAGGTACACAATGTTTGTGAGAACAATCACATCGAAACCAATATTTATAATTTTACCTTATTCATGCGTGCTATTTTCTTTGAGCACCGACTCTAATGCCACGGTAGCTTGGGTGTAGCGAGGAATGATGATGACTAGGTTGATGGCAATGAGCTGTAGAATGCAATGAACCACATTGGGATTCTTATGGCTTCTTCTTCATGGCTTCGATCTGTTCCAACACCTCCACAACTTCTTTCATGGAGGGGCGCTTTCTAGGGTCATGTTCGAGGCATCTTAGGGAAAGGTTAGCGGCCTGTAAAGCTGCCTTAGAAGAATATTGGCCTTCAATTTGCGCATCCATAATGGTCTTCCACTTCCTTCTGTGAGAGAGAAGAGGTCTTGCCCAATCAATCAAATTATGTTGGCCACTGGGGCGTCTGGTATCAAGTGCCCGTAAACCTGATAACATCTCAAGTAGCACAACACCGAAGCCATACACGTCGCTCTTCACATAAAGATGACCTGTTGAAAATGGATAGAGATGTGATCTGTTGCACTTCATCGACTATATGAAAGGTGTGAGAGCAGGGGAGGGGAAGGGAAGTTTTTAAGAATGACTGCCATTGTTATACACTGAAGTTGAATAGCCTATTTGGATGCTTTATTTGTTCCGTCTATTTCAAAACTCATCTCATAACCTTCATTTTCTTTGCTTTATTTCCATTTTTTAAGGTACCCACCCAATCACAAAAATGAAAAGCTGAATTCCTGCATCTCCTGCACTAGATAGCTAAGGGTGCAAGCTCACCTGTTGCAACATATTCAGGAGCAGCATAACCATATGTGCCCATAATTCGGGTTGTCACATGAGAGTTTCCACCTGAGGGACCCAATTTTGCTAAGCCGAAGTCTGATATTTTTGGATTGTAATTCTGCAACAAAAAAACACGAAAAAATAGAAAAGAGAAATCCCTAACAATCAGAATCTTGCGTGTATATATGCAAATCCATACTAATTTAACCAGCCATATTTGTTCAGTAAAGAGTGGGAGAATTGTCAATACAATTAGACAAGATATTTCTCTGTGACTGAGATGATGGTATATCATGTTGTGCAGTTATTTGTGTAACAAGTTTGCTATGACAAGTGTTCATGGTCACTTCCCTTAGTTTTTGAGAATTCTAGAATCTTGACTACCAATTTTCTAGAATTAATTTGTTAGTCACTTAGAAATAAGTTTCTAGAATTAATTTCATATGACTATAACATATTTCTGTTGATTCTTTATACTGCATAGCGACCAACCACAGAAAAAAACGTGGTAAGACTAATTGATACCCTAACCTAACCAGCTGTACAATCCCAAGTTTTCTTTTCTTTGCTACCTAGCAATCAACCTGGGGATCATAAATGTATTTCAAGTTGCTTTTATCCATTATCTTCTTCTTACTTATAATCAATTGTCAAATGGAAAAAAACAAACTTTGTCCTATATATAATGAGACATATATAAAATCTCACCTCATCTAGGAGTATATTAGAGGCCTTAAAATCTCTGTAAATAATTTCCTTCTCCGAAGTGTGCAAGAAAGCAAGCCCCCGTGCTGCACCTATAGCTATTTTGAGTCGTGTATCCCATGAAAGTGGATCAATGGCGCGATTCCCTACAAGAACCAATCAACCCAGAAATCAATGTACTTTGCAACTGAACAACAATTAATTTTTCTCCACAAATTTTCCTCCCTTCTTACTTCTGAACAGATGGTTTTCCAAGCTTCCCTTCTGCAAAAATTCGTACACAAGTAGTAGTTCTTTGTCCTCCCAACAGTATCCCAACAGCTTGACTAAGTTAGGATGTGAAAGCCTTCCTAAAAAATTCACTTCTGACTGCATTATGAAATGAAGCAAACAAACCATTAGCATTGTTGAAAAGGTTATTATGTTGATGGAAATTAAAGAAGACTGACAAGACAGAAGTAAATTTTGTTGGCTACAACAATCATGTTGTTGATCCTTGTTAATAAAAAGGGTGTAGATGTTGGATTGCCTATCTTAGACTCCACAGTGGTAGGAGACTTGTGCCTTGGGCTGCCCTTTTTACGGAGAATTGTCTTTGCAATTTAGTGATCTCAACCCTAGTGAGGCTCTCCACCACTCATATAAATTGTATTGATAACAACAATAACCAAGCAAACGCTCACTAAGTAATCTGTGGGCGTTTGTTTGGTTATTCCCTCAACATTTGGACCCCAAGGCGTATATAAAAACAAAGTTGTGCTACAAGTCTGTCTAGTAATCTGTGGCATAAGCAACACTAGCAAAGCCTTGAAAAGAGCAAGTTGATTGCAAGTTTGATCAGCTTATTTGACACCTAAATTTGAATTTGTACCATTCAATCTCTAGGCACTAAAACCCTTTATTTAGAAAAGCCTGCAAAAATCATGAACATAAAATATGGGGTTCAAGGGAGGGGAAGATAGGTAAAATAAGTTTCTCTCAACTTTTTATTAGCCATAAGAACTTGGTTTAATTTTTTCATGGTTTATTTGGTGAAAAAGAACATTCTCTCACTCTTTCTTTCAGAATATAGAACAATGATTTATATTTGATAGTCTCACCCTCTACATTCATTAGTGGTAGGCGACATTGACCACAACTCTAGGTTCTAATCCATCTTAAGGAATAACGCCATCAATTCAGTAGTCACCAACAAGGACCAAAAAATCGTTTTGAAATGGCCAAAACTTTACCATTTTAATGGAAACCAAAAAGAATCACCAATTAAGTAGTAAAATTCCTATGTTTCAAATGCATTATGTTTTGACCGATGTTTTGGTACATCTTCATTGTATTTCAAAACCCTTGCGAAATGTTTCCCTTTTTTAGATGACCAAAAAAATACACCAAAACAAATTTTTGAACCTTGGTCACCAAAGACAAACACTCCACAAAAAGGAATTTTCGTTATCTCATAACTGTTACTGTTAAGTGAAGCCTAAAGGTTGCTTTTTATTCCAAGACTTCTGGAAATGAATATCAACCATAAATGCCAAAGCCGTTTTGTCACATGAAACAGTTGAAAGCAAACAACAGAGTTTGAAATTACCTGCCATTCTTCAAACCCTTGTGTACTTTGCGAGTTCAATTTCTTGATAGCAACAATCATTCCAGTGCCAAATTTACAAGGCAGAAGCGTCTTCTCATCAACCCATCCCTTGAACACTGTCCCAAAACCACCCACACCCAACACTGAATCAGACTTAAAATTTTTTGTGGAACTCTTCAAATCCGCAAAACTATATATCTTCAAGTTCGGTGTGGGCAATATTTCCCCATCACAACATGTCCCCTCGCTTACTGCAGCCGAAAACCGGCTCTGGCCCGCGCTGCTGCTTGTCACCGAATATCCCCCACCGTTGCTGTAATTGTTTGATGTCCCTGAAATATATGCAAAATAGATAACAAACTTGTCAAGATTTAGCACTCAATTGAGCTAAAAACACCAATATTGGAAAGGGGGTTTCTACCGTTTTGAGTAAATAAACAAGAACTAAGGTTATATTTTGATGGTATTTGAAAATTTACAACAGAAGATGTCACAAATTAAGAAAATAAAAAGAACCCGTGTGATAATTTCACAAAAATAGAATACAAACATATGATCAGAACATGGGGAATGAATTAATTAACACAGCCAAATAATGGGTAAAGGAATTTTGATTTCTAGCTATTATCAGACAGAAACAAGAAAATAAATGAAATAGAATGAAGACCCAGATAAGGAAATGAGTATTTCTGTAGAAATATTTAGATTATAAAGCAAAACCTGTAGTGGATGGTCCAGTGGTGATGCTGCGGTTACTGGTGCCAGGATTAGATTCACCAGTCTTAGATCCAAAGCAATTCCCCATTACCAACCTCTTTTTTCTGTTAGCACTCTTCCATGAATGGTTTCAAAATCTCTCTTCTTCAGAGGCCATAAAATAAGGAGAGAGACAGAGAAATGGGAAAAGAAGGAAGGGTCTGATTACCGATGGGAAATTGGAATTGGAAGATTTTTCCTGTTGGACTTTTTGAGCATGAACAAGGAATTACTACCACTTTTCCTAGAAACATCTATGTTGTTTCACCGATTGTGCCCAGTGTTTTTTTTTTTCTTCTCTCTTTCTCCATTTTTTACGCGCCATTTTTAACCTTTTTGTAAGTCCTTTTATTCACTTCGGAAGCAGCTTTTTCTTTTCTTTTTTTTTCCTATGAACAGACAGACTTGTTGATAGTGGAGTCAACGGCCGCCCAGCTAGAGATGCAGTTCCCCATGTGATCCAAAAGGGCGTACAGATTTCCATGGTTTTTCTAGTCTAGGTATATCATGAAGAATCATTCTTTTTTTGTTATAAATTAATGAATATTTTACATTTTGTTAGTTGTAAGGAGATTTTTCGTTGTTGTAGTTGCTGTTGTAAAGCCGAGATCATAAAGAGTATATGTCGGGTAAGAAGTAAAGTTAATACGTTGAAGGGTTAAAACTATTTTTAATTTTTCAAATATATATTGTTTATCAATTTAATTTTTATTTTATCAATTTAATGCTCAAAATATTAAATTTGTGTCCCTTTGATCTTTTCTACCTCTCATTATAGAAAAGTTTCTATATATAACCACACACACACCAGAGGTGAACCCACGTACAGTTAGCGATCTCCACCCACCAGCTAGAGACAGGGAGAGGAGGTTTTTCGGTTCAGCCGTCACCACCATTAGCGACCTCCACCCACCAGCTGAACCAGGGGCGGAGCCCGGCTTCTTTCTCGGCGGGATCAACGTAAAATGTAATAATAATATTGCATTTTTTCACAAAAAATAACTGCGTAAAAAAACAATGTAAAAAAATCAGGGAAAAAAAAATGTCAATCAAGACCATCCAAATGCACCCATCTCTTAGAATTAAATTTTTTTATGTACACCTCATTTTCCATTTTTCTAAAAGATTGATCATTCTGCATAATATTCTAAAGAAATTGAGACACAATCAGATTGAGTCATCATATTTCAATTCAAATCCAAATTATCAAAACTCAAATGTCTATTGTTAGCAAAAAAAAAATGTAGGAATAACTCAAACCCTATTTATAACGCAAAAAAATATAAAAACTTAAAAAATCAAAGAAATCATTTATGTATTATCTCTCACAAAAACTCTAATAAAATATCAAAAACTCTCATTTTTTTACTATCTATTCAATTATTTGTTTGGGTAATCTAACAAACTCATTTATCATCTAAATTTACTAAAGCTAAATACTCTCCTAATTCTACGTTAATTTTGTGACATATTGACCATATAAAATTATGACTTGTGAACACTACGAATAGTTAGAGAGATTTATCTAAGTATAAAAAATAGAAGTCATTGACGAAANGCCATATAAAATTATGACTTGCGAACACTACGAATAATTAGAGAGATTTATCTAAGTATAAAAAATAAAAGTCATTGACGAAAAGTGATCGAGTTTGATCCAAACCAAACCCTTTTTGGTGTTCGAGTTTGACGCAAATCAAACCCTTTTTTTGGCGTATTGCTTAATCTAGTCATCCATGCAATTTTGGTGGGAGTTAATCAAATTGTGGTTTCATTTGATATGTTTGATTCAAGAAGAAAGTCATATACGGTTAGAATGGCTTTGTATCAATCGATACGTTGGATTCAATAGTTGGACAGAGCTATCAAATTCACTAGTAGCCAACGCATGGGCCCTACTAAACCTGCATGTCTACCAAAATACAAAATACAAAATAGCATAGACCCACCCACAATTTATATACATAAATACCCATAAATCTTCTAAAAAATTTCAGTGGGGGCAATATCCTAAAAGTTTGAAAATTCTAAATACATCCCAAAGGTTTTTAAAATTGCAGTGGCGGCAGCTGCCCCCACTGTAGATCCACCCGAGTTGAACCCACTTTCAGCCATTACCACCAACCAGTCACTTTGCCCACCAAATCCACTTTCAGATACCACCACCACTATGACTAGCCACCTTTACCCACTTATCACCATCGTCACAACCAACCACATTCGCTTATTAATCCCACATTCAGCCACCTTCAACTACAATCCCACACCACCTCTACTCACCAACGCTTCTCGATATCAATTGTTGGTCAATCTTTGATTTGCGAATCACAGAGTGAGACAAGTAGATAGAGAGGGTTTGTGATAGATTTCTAAATTATCCATCTGAGTTATGATGAATTATTCTTAAGATTATTAAATTATGCAATGAATTGTTTGTTGTTGTATTGGTGGGAATTGACAAGACTTTAGGTGGCTCAGTAAACCTCAAATTAACACGTAGATTGATACACCCGTTATGGAACTCAAAAAACTTCAAAAAATGGCGCCAAGTAGTTATTACTCAGAACAGTCAAGTGAATAGGCTCAAATCAATATTTAAGGAGATATGACAGCTCATTAATAATGACTCGAGTGATTACAACAGGGCTATTAATGAGTTTTTCTGTCCTCGAGACCCCAAACTGATACTCATGATTGCAAAGCATTAATGGTCATAACGCCAACCAGGCGTCCTCGGCAAATCCTGATGAACTGTACCTCAAGTGTTAAAAACTCAAGAATAGGTGTCAAGTACCGAACAAAGGAACTTGAGTGCCCAAGGATAGTCATGAGAGCTCAGCGTGCCTCCGAACACTTGTCCTATCACTCGAGCGTTGAATACTCACGTGGATCTGAGTGGGGAACACTCACTACGCATGGATAAAAGTGCAAGTCATCAAATGTTGAAATGAGATCTCAAATCCTTGCACTCATTACTAATACAGGTATAAATATTCCACAAAAACATGAACAAAGGTACGCAAACAAGACTAAAAAAAATATACTATACTCAATCCCCTAAACTTCTACTAACTTAAACTTTGAAGGGGATAAGTCGGGTGTTTACACGGCTCCTTTTTTTACCTCTTGGTTGTTTTAGGTTCATTATCGAGATAATCGTTATCTCTATTCATTGCAAGAAATATCCCATGTAGGAACTTTGGTAGTTATGGAGTTTTAAAAGTGGGGGCGTTGAGATTGGTGTGGCTGCTTTGGCAGATCAATTTAGAAGATGAGGGTAATATGATCTTTTTGCATTCACCATTTAACAGAGTCGTCTGTTCAAGTAAGTCCAAAAGCATAAGGGCAAGTGCTTATTTTTAAATAACAAGGGAATAAAGTGCAACTGACGCAAATCACAAGGAGTAAAATAGAACTTGCCCATTAAAGTTTTTAGTTAATAATAATATCATGCACCCACTTTCACAAGAAGATTATGTACTAGCTATGGGGTTGGATCATTGGATGTGCTCTTCCTTGCTTGACCAACCAACAATCAATCTGGTTTAATAAACAATTCATCTTACAATTATTGATCTGTTATGTGCTATATTTGCTTATTTTTTCACAAATTCAACTTCAATAGGATTTCTTGGATGGGAGGTCAATCGACTATTTGTGAAGTAATTGTCAGATAAACTATTTAATGAAGTCACCTACCAAAAAGAAATATAACTATTTAATGAAGTCACCTACCAAAAACAAACATAGATTTACGAGGACTATTTATACTTATCAAATACCTCCAAACCGGCAGTGAAACAGTCAAATGAACTTTTGTGTGAGAATAATTATACGCAAAAAGTAACCACCTCGTATGGACAGAGATGGTAGTGAAGAAGTCTCATGGAACCTGCAAGACAAAAGAACACATGGGTAAACCGATGGCCAAAGAAACTCCAATACTTAAATCAGATAGCAAGTTAGAAAGAAGTGTTAGGAAATTTGCACGAAATTCTCAAACTTGTGAGGAACAAAAATAGAGAAAATATGTAAAACGCGGGTAAATTTAAACTTTTTACAAAAAAAGGGTAAAACAGTAATTTATCATTACGGTACAGGTTGCAAACTTGAATTTTTTTAGGACTCGAATGACAAAACGGACATTACCATTAGATTCGTCTCATGAAATTTAGTTACTCTGTCAACTTTCATCGAATTTCGAGATAGTCAAATTTTTTACGTTTTACGAGGCAATTAGGTCTCTAGTGACCTAAAACGAATTTTTTAATAAAATTTTAAAATTTAGAAAATAATTTAATACAAGTTGAAATAAAAATATTTAAACTTGAACCGAAGTAAAATTTAATCATTTCAGGATAAAAATAAACCCAAAAAAAAAGAGGACGTGTGGCGTGTTGTGCACCAAGTATTGGGGAGTATAAAAAGGGGAAAAAAATTGATTTTCTTCCCCACAAATCTGCTGGTTCTCACGTTAGAAAAGAGAGAGGGAATAAAAGAGAAAAATAAGGGTTTCCCAAGCTTCTTCTTGCGATATAGGGTTGAGCTTTGCTCGAATCAACACGAGCCAAAAATCGAAATTGTTCTACTCGTCGAGGGCTACGCCTACGTACCAAAAAGAGAAAATTTAACCGAAGTTTTTGAGATAAAATTTTGGAGAAATAAAGGTTTGAGCTTGGGGGTGTATTTTTGGAGCTTCTCAATTTTCTTTTACGCTTCAAGAGGTAGAATTTTCTTCTTACTTAGGTTTATTTTCAACCTATGTTCGAAATATGGAATAGATAGTTTGATAGAAGTTGTATCATTTGCCTATTATTGTGGATTTGGTGAAATGGGTATTGAAAATTAGTAGAATAAATTCTATCTTAAATTGGGTATTATAAATTACTTAATGTAATTTCTTGAGAAATGTGAAATTTTGGGCATGTTATGTGTTTATATGAGTTAATGCCTTGTTTGGGGTGTTTGGTAAAATTCTTTGGATGATTGAAGTTGTTGTTTTGATGAAATTGAAATAACATGTTTGGATGTTATGGTAAATTGAAATCATATGCTTATGATATAATTTACAATTGAAAATATAAATGTTGATATGTGCTTGAAATATAGTGGCATTGTGATGATTTATGGAGATATGATTAGGATGTAATTATCCATGGTATGTGTTGAAATGTGATAGAAATAATCCATGTGGCATTCAATACATATTGGTATGATATGGACATTGAAATTACTCATTTGGCATTCATTGCATATTGGGCATAATTTTGGCATCACATTCATGGGCATTAGAC